CTGCCAACGATAGGGCGTGTGACGCGGCACGGAGCGTTGCTAGTACGGCCTAGTCCCAACAACGATGTCCGCTCCAACTGGTGAGAAATCTGCCCTGGCTACGTTAAACCATTTCCACGTCACACGCCCTATCGTTTGCTGGTATCATGACTGTATATTTGGAAAATGCACTTTATGTAAACTGGCCCATAGCTGTTGGCTTACATTAGTCTGTGACGAATACCTGCAGAATTCCCTGGATGATTAGTTGAACGTGCCTTCTCCTGTCCTTTCTGGGCATTCTGTCGATTGTTCCTATTGCTCGCCGAAGGCGTTCATTCATGATAACTGCCCAGCAGTTCGCATCCTAAAAAACAAAACTTTCCAAAATCAGGTAAAGTCCTCGGTAGACCGGCGTCTGTAGGTATCATTCGTGTTTTTTTTCCTCGGACAAAAAAGGCAAACAACCTAGGTTTACAAACAAGCGGTCCGTATTATAGGCGACAGGAAAGGTATGACCAGGTGCAAGTAATGGTAGCAGAGAAAGCTTACTTGGTGTATCCGGTGTTATTTCCTTCAATGGGGAGGAGGTATTTTTGTAAATTCGGGTTCGGGTCAATGACATCAATGACATTTAGAAAGAGATACGAACGATATGATGCGCAGTGAGATGACACAAATTTCACTTCACGTGGCTACGTAACACGAGGCTGTCGCACTCGACTATAATTACTGCTGCGGTTTGGAGTTAGTCCCATGTGGAACCTGAGTACAATTAGCTCCCATTTGTAATCTAGAAGTGCTTGAGGACAAGCCCAAGGCGAAACTTTATCGGTTACCAACGACTTCTAATATGAAACTTAAGTCTTTGGAAGGGAAAAGCTGGATGGATCTAGGTGGAGGTCAAATGTGATGCGGCGTGTCCCGCCGCTATTCCACTCAACGGTTATAGTAGAACAGTTGGAGCCGTATCACAGAAGGAGGCTCGCCGGCTTACGCTGGCGCGCCTCCTTCTGTGATACGGCCCGGCTTCGCCGGGCGGGCGCAGCTTGGCCGCGCGTACCTTTTTTCGTTGTGCTGCAATGCTCGACTAAAGTTTGTTCCTCTCTCATCTGTACGCATGGTCTAAGTAAATTTATGTAGTAGTGGTAAGGAGCGTCGAGCAGGTGCACAGTTGAGAGAAAAGTCAGGCATTAATCAAGTACTCTGACAAAACAAAAGAAATATGCGCGTTGAAAATGCGCTTCAGTGGCCATGCCTCCCATATCCCAGAACGAAATGCGCCGGTGTCAGGCGGCCAGCCGACTCGTGCCAACTGTATCTGTGGCGACCGATGATTAAGAGAAGGCGCCGATGCAGTGAGACACAGTTTCACGTCGCATACACCTAGGACCCCATGACAGCTGCAAATAGTTATCACGATGATGGGTGCAGAACTGTAACGACATCTCTGGGACCGTTTTACAGACTTTTGTCTGGCTCCGCCCACATCAGAGCAGACCCCGCCCACGACATGTGTGCCCCACTTTCTCAACCGGCGCCCTTTCGCTAACCTTGATCCACTTTTTTCCCGGTCTCTGCAGGGCTCTGGAACCGTTTTACAGACTTTTGCCTAGCTCCGACCACATCATAGCAGATCTCGCCCACGACATGTATGTCCTATATTTCTCCACGGGCGACCCTTCGCTGACCCTAATCTGCTTTTATCCGGTCTTTGGAGTGCTCTGGAACCGAGCTACAAATTTTGAAATGAACACACTATGTTTGAGGGAAAGCTCCGCCCTTTGTGGGCGGGTCTCACCACACCTCAGCATGCCCAACTCTCGCCTGATGTTGCCCTTCTGCATCGACTTTTGTGCGATTTCTGAACTCTTTCGGGAACCGAGTTACTGATTTTTATGGGGAGCACTGCCCAGTACTGTCTGCAGTACGCCCCGCCCACTCCGGGTATGTCTCCCCTGATTGATACAACCCCTTGCTAACCTTATTCCACTTTTTCCCCATCTCTGGGCTGCTCTGGAAGCGAGTTATGAGTTTTTTCTGCGGCTCCGCCAACTTTCGGCGCATGCCCCGCCCACTGTGGGCGGGGCTTACCATGGGTCACGGGTGCTATTTACATCTTGCCCCATGCCCTACCCATCCCCACCTTGACCCGACCTCTCCAAGTTGTTCTTCAGGTCGAACCGAATTTCCGGACAGACAAACAAACAAATAGACGAAGCAAATTATACATTGCGGGTGATACATTTCATAGAAATGCTCTAGGAATGATGTGTTCCTAGGTTTCAGACCAGTCAGATCAGTGACTGAAGCGGAAGCTTTCCTTTTAGCGGCCCGGCTTCCGAGCGGGCGCGGCCAGTGGAAATCGAAGATGCTTTTCTAGAGCCGAAATCTGGGCTGCATAATTCTGTTACGCACTGTACACCATAAAAATAGCAGCACTCCTAGGAATAGCATCATAGCTAAAGTTTAAAAAATAACAGAAAAGCAAAAAAAAAAAAAATAAACAAGCATGAAATGCCTCGAGGTGATAAAGCGCATGCAGTGGGAAAGAAAACACTTACACGATCTTCCCCAGCCTGCTCTCTTTGATGAATTACACTGTCGATGAACTCTTTCAAACCATCAATGAGCTCTCCTTTGTTGGCATCATCTAACATCCACAGATACTAGAACAAAAGTAACAGAAACTATTTTCATTACCTAAGACGACGCATGAGGCTTACTTGAGCAATATCATTATAGCAACATGGCTTCGCATAAAACCTCAGCACATAGTTTATCATCATGTCTATGGCACTACCTGGAAACAGACATTTCTTGAAAACTCTCACATCACACTACACGAAAACTTATCAGACTTACCTAAATTCATCTTTTCCAGAAGACCACGGATAGGCTCATCCTGTCGGAGGAATCTTCCCAAAAGCTCTAATCGGGCTAGGTGAGGGCCACGTAGCCGGCTTGTAGACATGCCATCCGCATTGATCGTTTGCAATAACTCGTTCAAAATCATGAAATAGAACGCTATAAATGATAAAATCAGAAGGGCTCATTAGGTCATAAGGGGAGATATGGAACGAATTAACAGAAGCAGAAGAGCGGTAATTCCCTTCAAAATGAAGAAAGAGTCTGAACAGAATTCGTATGGGGCTCGACGAACAATTATGAGAGGATGCACATACAACAACAACATCCCTCCAAATTAGGAAACAAGCCAAGCTCTTCTGAAAAGGACGGTGGATGAAAGAAACGCAATCATAAAAGGCGTCCGCATAAAAAGGATGCAACGATATTCGGTTTGTGAATAACACGACGGGATGCCTACACGTGCCCCTTTTGAAAGAACAGGAAAGAAAAGAGGACGTTTTTAGGACTCAAACATTCCGTTAGGATGGTTTGTAGGGTCGTTGAGGAAAAAGGGACCAGTCCATTCTCATATAAATTGTGTTTTCTACACCATAAATGGTGAAGGTTATATAGGATTTGATGGACTTAAAATTTTGACCCTCACATAGTTTGGACCCACGTCCTTCATCAGGTTAAGGCATTGCTTTTGTAGCCCTATGTCAACAGCCAGTGATGGCCAAATTATGAATCAATTTGAAGTCTATCGCAGATCTGAAACCGAGTCGCCTTCGCTTGAAGCTGAATCTATTCAGAACTTCGTCGGCTAACATGTTTATATTAATGAAATTACTTTCCTAAAAGAGAAACTTCTGGAACGAGAGGAATAGACGTAATTTTCTTAGAAGGCCGTGAAACCATAATTCACTATGAGAAACATTTACTTCGATTGCTCGTCCTCATCCTTTGCTTCCTTGAGCAGCTCAAATGATGAATCAAACAGCATCTTCCACAATATCCAGTCATCAGGGCTTAAATGAAACTGTTACCAGTGTATAGCTACAACTTAGGTTCAAAAAGCAACTTACTCTATGCTCAATCCTTCTATGGCCCTATTCATCACAGTTTGGTAATCTTTTGCAAGCAAAAGGAGTTCAAGCCTACGAGCCATGAGGAATGTTGGAGGTGTAGAAAGAAGAGCCCGAGATTCTTCGGTGCCTAATAACTTTTCCGCCTCTAAGAACTTTCCCATGCCTTCGTAAACCATTGCATGCAGTTCTACCTCTGAAAAGTAAGAATTTAGCAAAATACAGAATGCCTGAAACAACGAAAAGCCTGAGATTGGGGACCAAATTGAAGTTAAAAGCTTCTACGTTTCATGCGTCCGCTACCCGATTCCGAAAGTGTACAGGTCGTGAGAGTTTCTCCACTAACGCTGCAGCGAATTTATTACCCACTACCTTTGAATCTCAAACATTCGCTCGAAAAAAGATTATTTCAAGATATCATAGTCGGGGAGGGCAGGGCAAGCTGGGGTAAAGTTTTACCAGCTACAGTAGGAAGGGGGACAGGGAAAACAAATGCTTCATACCTGCTCCTGCTTTGTATCCGTGTTTTGATATATGACTTTCGACCATTCTTGCCGCGAGAGGGTAGAACATTTTTGCGCCCATCTCTGGACTTTCACGAGCCTGAACAGTATCAAAAACGCTACGAATGACCATCAAAATAACAAAGTAAAGAGATTTCGATAGAATCCTTGGTGCACCTGCATAACTATACTCATTACACCCCAAAAGAAATATGGAGTATTGTTGAACTCCTTGAATAAACGCATTGCGATCAATTGCTGATTTTTATACGACCTGGAACAATTGTTTATATAAAATCATATTTATTGATAAAGGACCCGCTGACCTATTTCTTACGTGAGCCATGAAAAGATGTGTAAGATTCTGTTCACTAGGAGAAACCGCAACAGCACGCTCGTAGAGAGTTGTTATTCTGTCAGGACAACCCGCTTCCTAAACGAAAATAAAAAATCATTATAGTTTGCAGAGCGATTCCTGAAGAAGTTTACGAGAAGACGATCCATTGTTTTGGTCCGGCGAATGAGGGAATGGTACCTTTGCTCGACCCCCCCCCCCCTTACATCAGGCGGTAATTTGGTGGCCATTACGGTGCACAAGCACAATCAAAGCCAGTTCGTCCCACTTTGAAATTTATTAATCGAAACTCCATTTTCAATCAGGTTGCCAAGGCATATGACGAGAGCACTATGTCGAGAGCGGGAAAAGAAAATGGGATATGCGAAAAAATCATCACTAACAATACCTTGAAACAGTGAACAAAAGCCTGCAACGTGCTGTCATCAAAATGTGCTCCGGGAACGTCTAAATTGTTGATGATTTCAAAACCGTCGGCAAGCTTGTCTGATCGGATGAGTGCCAGCGCTTTGAGCACCTGTAAATTCCTATATCTTTGTGGAAGATTATCCGGTGAAGCAAAAACCTTGTTGCACTGCAATAAGGCTATGAATGTGCACCTTATCGTCTTCAAGACAACACCGAATTTTGGGTCACGAAGCTATCATTCTGCTAATTGAGCATATTGGAAAACGAAAGGGACTGCAACAAAGGTGTTGTCACTATTTACTACGCTCAGGGTCCGCGCTCCTCGAATTCCTTACTCTCCCAGACCAACGGACCCATCGATCACACTCATGATGGGGTAGCTGGTCTGCACACTCAGTTGCATCTAAAAAGCATTGGATTCGGTATCGACAGATTCCCAGGAGTCGTTGTGACCTTCAAATAATACTGAACAGAACTCCAGGCGCGGCGTATCTCAGGAAAAGGTTCACTAATGCGTTCCGCTTCCCAAAAGAAACCCATGACCAATCCCAGTTCATCAACTCTGCATTATCGTGAACTCGACATTCATGAAGCTAATGATCTGTATTAACTAGTTCGCTTGACTGCCTGCGGAATGCAGTCAGTAATCCAAGCGAACACATGGACGACCGCCTTACGCGATGGTCAGACTTCTTCGTGAAAGCTCTGAACGAATGGTATGAAGTTCATCGTGTCCCTCGAGCAGAAGAACCCCACTGGGTCTAGCACGTTACAGAGAAGAATGAGGACGTTACCAGGGTCTGCACGAGGAACGCGATGATCAACGGGAGCACAGGTGATACAGGTAGTCTTCCGTAACAGGACTTTCCGCCAGCATATGTTTCTTTAACTGCCATGTTGATAGCTATGTTCATGAAGTGAGCAGGGTAGAGTTCTTCAAGGCGAGGAACTGACCCGGATCTCGTGCAAAACTGTTGCTTACGCTCAGAATGCATTCCTTTCCAATGAAGCTATTCTCACCTTTGCACAAATTGTTACAGGATGCTTTTTCAAGACCTTGTCAGCTTCTTGAACGGCTTTTTTGGGATTACCAGCGTCAATGGCATCTAAATAAGAGGATCATTCCGAAAAACTAATAGTAATTGACTGAAGTCATACCGTAAATCGGTCGTAAGCGCCGTTCAATGACGAGTTGATCGGCCTTCGACATCGTGTCGTTTCTACACCATACAGCACCCTTGAACGAAGACTTTCACACTTCATTACACAGGACGACGGATATTGTTTGAAAAAGTGCTGTGATGTCACTATTGACCCTATACCGCCTCCTTCAAAATCCAGGCAAGTCTGAATTAAATCCCCTGACTAAATAGATCAGGTTAGATCTGATTAGATGTTTGCCCTCTGAGGTAGTCTGACCCCGTGAACACAAGTATCACATAAGCTTGGCTCTAAAAACCTCGGTCTCTAAAAAGCGAAAGCTGACCCGGGAAATCTTCACCAGTATCTGTTCAGAAGTTTGGAAAAAAAACTACTTCGCTAAACCATGAAGTAAAGTAGCTGCGATACTTTTTATCTTCAAAAGTGAAGCGATTATCATTAAGAGATGAGAGACTGAGCTACAGCTTTTTGAAATCTGTTTTCCGTTGTGAAATTGTAACTGTATAAGCTACGAGTTCACAGCGTCCTCTATGCATTATGGTAGTCGACATGATTTCTGAAAGGTTTATCACTGCTTTTACAGCTGTGTAGCGTCTCGGGCCATAATTATACTACCAGAAAGTAAAAGTGGTGCAAGATGTGTATGAAAATCTTGAATGTGACTCGTTGGTACATTCCAAAGAGAAAGACAAAGCAAAAGATTTCCACTAGTAACCATAGCGGCCGTTGATAAATGAGATTGGTGACTTTGTGTGAGGCTTTATGTCGATCATAGTGTACTGTGTGTAATAGATATGTCGGAGCAGAGATAGAGAGCAGAAGCGAGAGAGTGGGGAAAACTGTACGTGAGATTGAAACGCAGACGTGAGGGTTATCACGTAGTGTAGAAGGAAATTAACTAGGAAGCGCCTTCACCTCTGATTTCTCTATTGCCATACTGCCTTTCATTGTACTCGATTTCTAATGAGTCAAATTGTCGTTTTTACTCTTAAACTTCGCCCAAGTCCCTCCCAATCACGGTCTTTTCGTCATGTTAATGTGGAGGGGGAGATTTTTATTTATTTATTTAGTTGACGTGCAAGGCTCATTCAAATCACCTGCTCTCCAACAAATTAACAGCAGCACAGTCGAACTAAACTCACTGGAACCAAATCACACAACTAAACAGAGACTCCTGATCGTAACAAAATCTCCTAGAGACCTTCTATCTGATATTCCAAATTTTGCCGTCGCAGTTTGTGGTAGAATTTTTCGCATGGACGTTTAACTCAAAACGTGGCCAACAGTTCCAACACACGTATCAAGGTGCTAATGTATTTAGAGAGGGGCACGCTCCTCTTCCACTCCCTCCCGTTGAAACAGTATCCCGCGTCTTTGGTTGGCTCCAGTGGAATTCTTTAGCGGTAACTTCCTAATTTCAGGGTTAGAACACCCTGAAATCTAGCCTTGTTGTCTTAGCACCCTATGACGGGTAATTTAAACCCGTCATAGGGTGCTAAGACAACAAGGCTAGATATTTAACGCTTGAAAGTGCAAAGAAGCAATCGTAAATCAGTGGATGAGGGTTCGCTTTTACCCATAAGGGAGGGAATTCGGGATGGGTGGTAAACTACTCCTTTGCGCGAAAGAGTACTTTCAAGTGCCTTGAGTGCTCCATAGAATCTAAGAATCTCCCCGTTACTCCACTGCGCCATACTGAATAGCGGTCAGGTGATTAGCATCAAAAGCTTAGCTTTTCTACAAGTTCTGAGTGGATATATGCGTTTTACCTTTCTCGACACTAATCAATTTGAAGTATGCTGGATATGCTTTATGCGGTGTTTCAAACATTTTCTCAAGGAAGTTTCTTGGCGAGGAAAGAGCAGAAGAACAGCGTTCTGCGTGGTCCCCCTCCCTCCCCCGGTCTAGGGACAACGCGAACTCAATTCTTTAATGGCGCCAATCTTCTGTTTTTCTCTGCGCTCTCTTGCCTGAATGGCGCTTTGTGACCACTCTGACCTTTCACATTCCAACTCACGCATACTAAGTGGCTTTTCCACCCCAGTGTACCTTCTCTCTAAAAAACCCATATCCTGGTCAAGTTATGGTTTTTCTACCTCACGATGCCGTGGCATTGCAGTTCTTTATTGCTCTGTGCTCTGGCCTATCGCGGCAGAACCCCCATCAAAAGTTTTGGTTGTCACGTAGCCCTCTTTGAACGCGTTGATTTTCTGTTTTTCTCTGCACTCCCTCGTCCGGAATCTCCCCCCCCCCCTGAAAAAGCCCATTTCCTGGGTCGTCACATGTTTATTGCACGTTTCGATGCTTTGGCAGGCGGTGTCCCCTATCTGGCGATAGCAGCGGGCAAGGGCTGAGTTTCATACAAAAAGAAACTGTTGGGTCCAGTAGGCGGTTCATAGCTTGTGTCAATCGAGAAATGCAAAATTAAAGGAATGCAGAGTTGCAAAATTGACGAAAAGCATTAGATACGTATCGATCTGTTTCTGCAGTTCGTCAGTTCTTCACTTCTTCAATTATGCAGTTCTTCATTTTTTCTGTTTGCATTTTAACTACATCATTTACTGAGTATGATTATATTTGTGATCCTGCTAAAATTTGGACGCACAGGTAGAGAGATCTCCAGTTAGAGCAATCCACTCAGCTTTTGAGATGCCACTAGGAGGCTCGTCAAGAGAGAGAGAGAGTTGTTCAAATTTGTTGGCGGGTCGGACCTCGAATCCTAAGGAGTGGGAAGTACCTCACATCCGAAAACTCGGGCTCAATTCCGTAAGCATGCCTTGTGCTCGTCTAGAAGTGACGTCACCAATTTTTACCCTTTTACCGATACTAAGAGGTTTTACCGAGGAACCAGAAGGACACAACTTAGTACTTTATTCAATAGGGATAGCAATGTTTCTTTTGGTGTGTGTGCGTGTTACGTATCTGCTCCGATTATTTCTACTGTTCTTTTTTCTGTTCGTGCTCTGTTTTACCAGTACTGCAAGATAAGATTTGAGTTCACATACTTGCTTTATAATTCTGAGTTTTATAAGATAATGCTATAAAGTAGAGGTTATAATTTTGTGCTTATTTCGAAGTCGGGAAAGGATCTTAACCAGGGAGTCGAGAGGTTATTCCCACCATTTACAATACGATGCACACCGACGTACTCGTCTTGGGACGCTGAGCTCAAATCTTTCTTTGAAATTTGCTGAAAAGTTCTGTGAACGGAGTTATGGAGGGTTTTCTCCTCGCAAGCTATCGCATGGAAGCGTGCAAGCGTCTTCACATAAATGAAATGAGGAGAAGGTGTCGGAGCAATGGAGCGCAGTGCATAGCGAGTGGGTGTCATAGGCAGATGGTTATGGGATCGATTCCTGTGACAGCTAAAGAACTTTAAAGGAACATGGCCAACAAGGCTTCTAACATGTTGGCCGTGGCCATGTTCCTTTAAAACCTAGTCGCCCTACCTGCTCGCAGCCGCTCGCGTGTAAGGGGTCTGCGATCAGTTTTCTAAACTAGTCCCCTTGTGGCCTAGAAGAGTGCTTTTGCTTGCCCCCCCCCTGACCAGCCTCCGCCGAACAGCGCTATTTTTCCAGCCGCTCGAACCTAGTCCGTGATAAATTCTTCGTTGCAGTGCGCAAATTACCATCTTAGAACGAACTTTCTCCTGCAAAATTTGGACGCCCATCGTTCTGCGCGCCAGCAATCGAAGACGCGGGTACTTCCATTGATGAATGGGCGAAACTCTGGAACTCCACCTTACCATGATCTACTCATTCATCAGGGCGAAGTTACCTTCCCAGTTAGCAGGAAATATTGTGAATATGAAGCCCATACCAGTGAGCCATATACTGTGCTAAAGGGACGATCAAAGAATCGAAGGCACGCCCCGAGTTCGTCAGGTGTTCTGGCGCCTCTTTGGTCATGGTAGCCCGTCCAGCAAAATGAAGACACACGCTATAGCTTGCAGGTCTCAAAAATAAATAGGTAAGAAAAGCGCTGCCCCTCGCGATAGAAGCTCCGCCCACCGGCCACGGAAACTTCCAAACTCACCTATAAAGTTGGTGCGGTTTTTCGCTACAGACTCTCCATTGGATGTTGAGAGAGAGAGGTGATAAAGAGAAAGAGCTGGCACCAAGAACGAACTCGTCCGGTCGCGCTTATTCTTCGTGTTATGCAGTATAAGCGCTGTTCAGTATGGGTATATTTGGGGACATTTCCAGCGAATTTTTTTTTCGCTTTTTTCTTCATTACAGCGTTGAATACCACCCTGTCGTCAGTATTTGAGCCGGACACCCACCGATTTTGACGCGGAGCATGTCTTTGATTTTTTTAGCTCGAAGACCTGGGCTGACCGGGCTGTACCTAGTATCACTGCTAGCTGCTATTTAGCTATGACAAACCGGACCACACCTCTTTTTCTGAGTCGAATCAAATTCTCTGATCGTGGTAGAGTGCCGTCTGTGTGTCCGTTTTCGCGAGGAGACTCCAACAAGTGTAGACTTTGGAATGGTGGCGAACGATGAAATGCTCGTTATGCCGTTGCAGACCTGTGATTGTGGATTTTGCTTTGTAGTACGGATTCTGGCGTGAATTCCCCTCTCGCTGCATATCCCTTCGCACCGAACACTTGCAGGACGATTATAAAACACTCTCCTTCTGATTGTTTTCCTTTGATTGTTTGAAGCGTGAAGCGTGGTTGTTCCTCTTCACTTATTGTTAGTCGCATTCAACTAATATTTACTATTCAGGTCAATTGGGTCGATCTCAGTACTTCCCACAAAATGACAGATTATATGGCTCAGATGCTCAATGAGCTAATGGGTCCACAGCGGAATTCTTTACCTGGAGAGGTCAGTTTTTTCAAATTCTTGTTTCATTCACTATCACTATTCAAAAGACTATTGTCGCGTGATATGCAAATTTCCATTCAAGTACTTGTTAAAGTACTAGAAATGAACATTTATCTTTTCGTGGAAGTGCAAATTTGAGATAGATAAGTTACCCGAACCAGGGGGAAAGCTATTGAAAACACGAAGAAAAATACCGTGGAAAGGGGCTTGCTTTATTCAGTGAAATGTGAAATATTAGATGGCTTTCCGCAATCCGGAATCTAACAATAGTCGGATAACAGAATGACAGAGTTTCATTGGGTAAAAGCTTCTTCTTGTTTTCTTGTTGAATGAACTATTCTTTTCCGAATATTTATCTTCTTCCCAGTCCACAGTTCGTCAATACTTCGGTTGTGATTAAACTTATATATACTTTTCCGCGATTCCTCCAAGTTTCGCGCTTCGCCGATTCTTCGAGTTCCACGATTTTCCGTTGTGGCAAGGTATGGACGCAGCCGTACGCCGCGTACACTCGGAGAAATACGAGAATCGGCGTCGACGTTTCGAGAAAACGCGTCGAGGAATGTGTAGGTATCGATCTGGTGTTTCGGGAGCGTAGGAAAACGGACGTTATGGAAGAATAGGAGAGTCGTCGTTTAAGTGGAACTCTCGCAAAGATGGATGCCGGATGTGGAGAATAGGAAGGTGCTGACTGCGCGATGAGCGTGATTAGCTGCAAAAAAATACGTCAGAATGGATATTTAATAATAAATACATTCTGGAAATAGTTAGGAGCGCTTGATATCCATCTATCCCTTCGGGCGCCTCCTCCCAAAATGTCGACTCGCTGATTTTCCTTCTGTTCGGTCTTAAAGGTAGTGCTCTGACCATCTTATTTCTAATTCTTTATTTCTGCTTCTCTGATGTATCAATATTCTATATTTTTGCTGCTGATGTATCAATATTTCTACAAATCTTGTAATTTTTGCATGCCCCTTATTTCAGAGCTTGTTTCAGGGTGCTGCAATTGATTTTGATCATCCCGATGTATGCAGAGATTTTCTTGTTGGATTCTGTCTTGCTGACGCGTTTCGGAACACAAAAAACGACCTCGGGTTTTGTCCATTTGTAAGTGTGTTCTTCAAGCAACTAATGTTTTATGGGTCACTTACTGTTTGTGCGTTTAGCCTATTCATGACGAAGCTCTGAAGAAACGTTACCAAGAAAGCAGTCGTTTCGGGCGGCTTGGCTATGAAGAGAAGTATTTTGATAGGGTAGGTTGAGCTGCATATACAATTCACCACGCTGGTATTTGTATTGTTACTACTACCTTAGGCTGCGTTCATACTTTGCTTCAGCACTGCAGCGTTTTGAGCGACTAGGAAAGTATGGACATCGATGTAGCTACGTCAGCTTATGCCAGCGTACTGCAGACACACACGTACACATACTTCAGCAGCCTTTTTGCGGAGAGTTTTGCTCAAGCTTAAGTTGCCCACGAAAACGCTGACGTTCGCTAGATCGATATCGATACTTCCCTAGCCGCTGGCGGTGGCGTACGCTCGAAACGCTGGCGTAGGCCGGATGTCGCGTAAACGATAACCAGAGCTGAATAAAGCTGTTACATGTGCAGTCGATTCCTGATTTGCAAGTGTTTCTGCAGAATAAAAAATTAATCCGCGCCACTTTTCATTGATGGAACAGTAGTGGTTCATACTAGTTAGCTTTTCATTGTTTGAGTTCCGTAGCCAAGCGAACAGTTCAATACGTCTTCAGGCAATTTTTTGACAATTTCTTAATGTGTCATTAGTGAGAATAATCTGGAAATTTCAATTTCTACATGTGAGCATGAACTGGCATTACTTTATTAAGTCCTGTTATAGAATTAAAATTTCTCGATTTTCCTAAGGAGTGGGATCATTACAACGTATAGACCATTTTTTAGCTTAATCGAATGCACAATGAAGTGAGAAGAAAAATTGAGAAGAACGAAGCTCGATTGGTCCACACAAGAGGTATGATGGTAGAACTGACTTTCTGAATGGGCCTTCAGTTGGCTTTTAGATTTGTAATCGTGTAAAATACAGTTTACAATAAAGACCATGTTTGCAGCTGACACCCATGTTTCGGCGGAAGTTTATGATAAGAAAAAAAAGGACCTACTTGAGAAGCGTGAATTGCTAGGCCGACGCATAGAGGGTCTTATGGAGGAAGCTGAGGTAATTTTTCTTAATATTTAACAGCTAACGATGTTGTTCATACATGTACATCATTTTCTGGGGTATAGGGCGTGGTTAGGTGCTATAGTGAGTACGTGGCAGTAATAATTATAGGGGTGTTATCGTTGGGTGATAACAATCCGAAATTCCCGTACTAAGAAACCTAAATAGAAAAATTTAAAACCAACATCAGAGCACAAAATGGCTTACCCACCTTCTTGGACTGCTATCTCACGCCGAAAAATGAAGATTTAGCGTGCACTCTAGGAAGTTCTGCTCCGTGTTATACTCTACTTCTACTCGTCCTTGAAGATAAGCAAGAGATAAGCAGCAGTACTCTCATCTCCATGTGTCCTGGTCCTTCCCTGTGAGATGAATGGGTCCGCAGCTGTAGTAGCATGTCACGTTCTTCGCTCAAAAGTGCCCGGGAACGAGGTCGGAGGTAGTCATATGCACAGATGCCGTCTCCGCACTCCTGCTCGCGCTGCCGCACGACTAACTACACGCTTTACCTCAGCCAAGCGCCATTTGTCTGCGCCCTTCTCGCTTCTAGTTGTTCTCTGCGGCGGATGAGTGCGTGTTTCGCTGCGAGACCTTGGTGTAGATGTAATTGCTGTATCTTGAAGATAAGGTGGAGTACAGAGCTGGCACCGAGAAACATTAGTCTCCAGTCCCCGCCCCCTCCATTCCCGTGCATCTTTGACCGAAGAAAGTGGTTCCTGATCGGCATCTCGAAGTATTCGCTCTGCAGTTGGATGGCAGATTCTTCAATATTTCATCCATATCTCGCATCTACCTTCTGCTGCCACTGCATCCCATCTTTTGCGCTACGTGTGACATCGTCACCGACTTTGAGAATAAGTCATCTTCTCGGAAGGAGGAAGTTGGAAATCTTTTGGGGCTGTTGCTTACAGTCTAGTTCGCTGCGGACGAAGCGTGTCAGGCGGGATGAGCTTGGCGCGGTGCCATGCCCTTTCACCAGTTGTTGAAGCGAGCAAGTGACGAGACTGTATCATATTAATAGGATGACTCGTTTTCTACCGTCTGTTGTGCATACCTGCTTCAACAACTTTCAGAGAACAGGTTTGGGCCCCGTGCCACACTCATACTGCCTGACACGCCCCTTCGCCCGCAGCGAACTACAGTATTTGTTGTGTCGTCTGCTCCCTAGCGTCCTCTTTTTCAAGAGTCTAAATCATCGCCAGGTTTCTACCATTACGTGTTTTTCTCGCTGTAGCCCTGTATGCGAATGTTACCGTGAAGATGCTGATTCATGGGCAAAACGCTGTGCCACCATTGTTCTTACCATCTTAGTCCCGTACCCTGATACGATTTTTCCTGTCTTTTCAATGTTTTATTGCCACTGTGTTCATACCCCAACTTCTTTGTCCCTTGTAAACCGCATCAAGGCAGTTAACGCAGTTTTTTGAAGGCGGTTAACGTTTCACTGCTAATGGAATGCGAAAAATATTGCGTTGGAAATACTTGGATATTGCGTTGCTGGGTTACCATCTCATGAAGGTTTAGTGAGTAAGTACGGTGACCGGGAGCAATAGGTGCGGTCCCGCTCTATTTCTGGAAGTGGATGTTTTGCATTACCCGCTGACTCTTCATGATTTTATTTATTTATTGTAATGCGAAGTCCAGAGTATGCGTTCTCTGTGAGCGACTGGGTGACTACCACTAACTGGCAGAAACGCTGATGTGCATGCTACCAGAACAGACCAACTAACTTTTGTCTTCTTCTCTTTTTACTCCTTTGCTGTTTATTGTCATACATTTATTTTCTATCAGTTCGGAACATCTAAATGAATGTTTCGTTTTCAGATCGAGGGCGCACAAGGGAATGTTGCTGCTGCGCAAGAGGCTGTCCAAAAAGCAGACGAGCTCTCAGTAAGTCAAGCTTAGCAGCAGAGCTCTCCTCATTAACAGCCTTCTTCGTTGTTATAAAGGTTTCCAATTTCAGAAGGAGCGTGAAGGACTGCAGAAAGAGGAAGAGAACTTGGAAGTCGAAAGGCAGAGGGCGATAGTTATGGAAGAACAATTGACGGCGGGCAACAAACAAATGCAAGTATGCCAGGTACGTGATATTTTATAAGCCATAATATGATTTTTTGGGCCTAGTTCGGCGGTTAGGGAGGGGGTACATGCTGCACTTCCGCTGCTTCCCATTCTCGTGAGGACCCGTCAAGTAATCCGTGAATCTACTGATTCCATGAAGTGATACCAACCGAACTTAAAGACAGCCCCCGCGCTCGAGTAGTACATGGTCGTCCTTCCTTGTGCAAGTAGTACAGCCCCCAAGCTAGAGACTATCCCACTCGCGACTCCACAACGAGCGAGCTACAGCCGCTCAAAGTTCTAGTTCTAACGCCCGCTCAGTTGGACCGCCTCACTAGATGCTCCGACGGAGGGCCGCTCAGTTGTTCTTTGTTGGGGCGGCGGGCATTAATCGGCATTCATGTCCTTTTCGCTGACCACGCTCGTGCCCATAAATAATTCTGCTTTCCTTTATTACATTTTATTCATTAGCAGCACATACAGTCAACTTCATCCCATCTCGCAAGGTAAAACGCGTAAAAATCACGAGCGACCCAATTTTCGTGGTGCAAAAGCTCGACGCACTTCACTACACTAAAATATGCACGCTACCGTAACCCTAAATTCGGACGCCGGCTTTTTAAATGTTTCCTTTTCTTTTCAAGAGTTTTCCTCTATGTTTTTGTTGTTTTTGTTTCTTTTCTTCGCATTGGATGATATCCACTACTGGGAGATGTGATAAAGGGATTTGTGAGCCAGGGGTTGCACAGAGACCGCAGGGAGGTGTGACTGTCAGGGAGCGATTTTGTTTATGGTGTTCTTGAGGACTCTTCTTGCTTTTTCTTCTTTGGGGAATTACTTATCAGCTACTGTTTCATAATTGAAAAGCAACTATCCATGACACTTTTATCGCGGGAGCTGTCTTTAATAGAAACTGCTTTTCAACGCTTGCATAGTAATGAAGACGACAGTGGGAAGCAGCGAAAGTGCGAAATAACCCCTCGCCTCATCGCCGATCGCTGATTTCTGCATTGTTTTCCTGATGGTGAAATCACAAGGCAGTACAAGAGCAGTCACGATGTGAGACTCCAAAAATTTTCCAGAAAAGTCAAGCGAACTGTAAAAGTTAACATTTGCGGTGCTTCGAGAATTTTCAGAGGTTCTTTTGTAGCTCATTGGTTTTATCACCTGTTGCGTGATGCCACGAAAGTAGAAGCTCAAAAAATTAATAACTCATACATATTACTTGTAGAGCGATTGAGAGTGCACGGGCGTAAGGCTGTTGTTTCCAGCTGTTTTCAGCGCAAACTTGATTGACTCATGGACGTGAGGATGCGACTGCGGTAGAACAGTGGCGGACATCTAAAACTCGGGTTACTACGGGCTAAGGCACCCACGCACTATCACCTCCAATGTTGTGAAACGTGTGATCCCGTAACAACGTGTGTCGTGTAGTAAGACTGCTTTTGTCGAATGTTCCTTTCTTGAACTCTACATTGAAAAGCGATCATTTTTCTGTAATAGTCAAGATTTTGTGTTATTTTCGTATTTGTTGATTCATTTCTGGTTCTCATTTTTTGTATTTTTCCGCCTTCTCATGCTCACGATTTCAGGTTTGTGGATGCTTCATGCTCACAAACGATGCACAAAGTCGTATCGATGACCATCTCAGTGGAAAGCTCCACATTGCCTATACAAGAATTAAAGACCAAATCGACTTGATGGTGAAAGCTAGAGAAGAAAAGAAACTTCAGCTAGAGAAAGAAAGGACAAAGGATAAAGATGACAAGTCAGATAGAAAACGTGATGATCGTGACAAGGATCGAGACAGGGATCGTGAACGGGACAGAGATCGCAAGGAACGAGACAGTCGAAGAGACCGTAGCAGAGATAAAGACAGAAAAAGGTGAGTAAACGAGGATAAGTCATGGTATCGTGTCTGTAGTAGAATCAATTCAAGACCATATGCTTTTAGTTCACGCCGATCGCGAAGTCGTGACCGTGATGGAAGAGATCGACGTTCAGACGATCGGAGGGGGTCAGACCGACGGGATCGCCGCGACAGGAGCCGGTCACGCGACCGCAGGGTTAGTTGTTCTGCCGTCTCAGACAATATTCACGCTTTGCGACTGATAGCTGTGTCTCACGGCGGGGTTTGCAACGTCCATAGTTGGCGACATTGTGGAATCTATGGAATCTTCGAGCTTGGTGACTAGAAGGAGACTGCTGAGTTGGTTGGCTCTGCCCTCTGTCGAATTTTTCATGATATTCACATACTGTGGATGCCTTCACATAGTCCCGCATTCCGTAATATCGACAGCTGGGAACACCTCGATAAAGCGAGCGAATGCTTCTCGCAGGCTGTTTCGCAATTCGTTTTCAATTTGTTATCGACCTCCTGAACACAGATATAGCATGCACTTGGCCTGAAACGGCCCGGCCAGCGCCAACGACATCGGCAAAACCAAATCACCAAATTCGCTGAAAACTTGTCTCTAGGGTAGTTTGACCTCCAGATCATGAATGTCACACCGGCTTGCCTCGAAACCACCCTGCGTTAGCGCCATAACCGGCGTCAAAGCACTCTCTGTCACTAAAATCAATTAAAATTTGTATACTGGGGTCATTCAACATCCTGCTTGCGAATATGATATTCATTCTTAGCGCCGCTGCTAATAGGAGACACTACGATCATCTGCGCTTTGCTAAGGCTGTGCCTGGAGGGAAGCACTCCTTCTCCCAGGCTCTGCCTCAGTAGAGCGCTAAATTGCGCAGGTGTCGAAAAGTGAATGCTGTTTTCGTAATCAGGACATCAGACAATCCTGTCATGCCGGATTTTTTCGATTTTGGTCAAAAAGGGTGTGGCGCCAAATCGATGTCTAATGATGCCAAATGACTAGCGCCCTGTGAATGAAAAATGAATGTCAAAGTAGTGACCGAAATACCGAATAGGCCCAGCAGGCATGTTCACATGGATTTTAGTGAGAAAGATAGTGACGTCAAAGTGGCTCTTATTGGCTTTAAGTGCGCCAGCGTCAAAAGGTATGCCATACTTATGATCAGGACGTCGAATATCCAGTATAGGCAAGTTTCAGCAATTTTTTCCGAGTTTTTGTGGTGTGATAATCGAATAATCCCAAAATGTAAAACACTCAGCGAAAAAAAAGAAAACAATGAGCACAGGAGTGGAAAGGATAGGTGATCCATAACCTCTCCATTCGAATTTGAATTCCCATTCGCTGTCAGGGTCATCTATGCCAGTAGGCGCGTGGGGCGTCGCGCCCGCTAATGACGACGATTTTAGGTGGTGTTGGTCGAGAATAGACAATGTCGAGAATAGACAATGTATCAGAAAAAAAAACATAAGCATCTACTATGTCCTTGTCGGAATGACAGATTAAGGTCGCTCCCATTGCCGCGCGCAGCGAAGCGCCAATTTACGATTCTCTTGGCCGTCTCCCCATGAGGGAGTGCGGTGTTGAGGCATAGCATCGGTCACAGTATGCGCTTGATATTCCTCGGTTTATTTCTCACATTTTTTTTGTCTTTTTAATACTAATTTGTTAAGCGCCACTGACGTCTTCATGCTCTTCATTCCGTTTCGGTATTTCAATCTCATCTCTTTGTTTGTCAAGGTTAGTTCCACAGAGGTTAGTCCATTTATTGTATTCGAAAATCAGTGCCGTAACGGTTGCCTTCTGATACCTCTCTTATTCCACGTCGAGGTCCGTTGCAATCGAGAATTCTGTATTTCTCCATTACTACCGTGGATTTCGAATTCTGAAGTTAGTTTCATGGTGAAATAAGTAACATTTTGCTGAACTATGCTGTAATAACAGTTCCATCAGGACTGTTTACTTTACGGTTAGTTGTAGCGTGAACTTGTGCCTATAAGTCCCTTCGATGAACATCGGCAGTTTTTAGTTCTTCACACTAGGCTAAAACTACCACAATCTTGGTGGTGATTTCAGTTCTTTTCAGGGTCATTGGACCGAGCACCCACATGCAGCGGAGAAGAGCTCGATCTGGTATTTACACTTATTTCTTTTTTGATTAGTATGATACTTGCTATTTTGTTCGTTGTAGAATGAAGATTACTATTGATTGATCGTCTGTTTCCATTGAAATCGAGTGTTGTATGCACTGAAACAATAAAATTTAATACACCATGAGAATCGCAAGCAAAGCTCAAGTGTATGTCGCAGATTGCGTGGCGGGGATTGTCGCATTCGATCTGCTGGAGAGGAGGAGTCATACTTACACGGATCAACAGCTGTGCAAGACCTTGAGGAAGTGAGAGGTGTCGCGCTGGCGCTGCAGTGGAATTTGGTCAGGAACGAAGGGGAATGCATTCATGGCGGGAAAATGATCGTAGAGGTAAGACATCAGTGAAATTAGTACGATGTAGAAGAGGCTTGTAGCAGCTATAGACTACTCAGCGTTTTGGGTGTTTCACTTTAAACGATCGTAACTTTTTTAATACTCATCGGATTTAATCGAAATAGGCACCATTCGAATCAGCACACTTTTGCCAATGTGACAGCAGTCGAGAAATCCCATCAAAGTAAAAAACTGGGTGGTCGAAAATTCACGAAATCCACGAAGGCTTTTTTGCCTGGTCCTGATTGATGAAGTATTTTCCAGCAAGGAAGTTCTGAAAATGTTTGATAGTCGGTTGGTGAAAGGTCTGGAGAATATGGCGGGTGAGGTAGAACTTCAACCCCCAATTCGTTCAATTTATGGATAGTGATTTGTGAAACGTGTGGGCGGGCGTTGTCATGCAAAGGAATCGGACCCTTTCTTTTGATAAGTGTTGGCTGCATCTGACAAAATTTTCGGTACAATTCGTCGATTTCTTCACAGTAGGGTTCTGCTGTGATGGTTTGGCCTGGTGATAAAAAGTTATAGTGGATCACACCAGCCGATGACCACCAAGCCGTGACCAGAATCTTTTTTTTCGTGAGGGTTCGGCTTTAAAAATTACCTCGGTGGTTCGTCGAAATCCAACCACTGTCCGGAACGTCTCCTGTTATCATACATGACCCATTTTCATCACAGGTGACAATTCGGCCCAAAAACAGGTCGTTTCTGCTGCGCAAAAGCAATGCAGAAGGAACCTCGAGACGTGCCGATTCCTGCCGGTCACTCCGATTGTGGGGCACCCAATTGTCGAGTTTTTTTCACCTTCCCAATGCGTTCCAGACCATCTGCAACAGTGGATTTGCCAAGGCCTAGCTCTTCTGCTATCTCTCGAACTGTTTGGGATGGGTCAGCCTCCAAAATCCCCCTAAAATCCTCGTCAGATATTGCTTTAGGTCGACCGCTATGAGGTTCATCTTCAAGGCTGAAATCTCCAGAACGAAATTTGTTGAGCCATTGCCGCACAGTGCTTTCTCTAGCGGCCCCCACACCTGGTTAATTTGTTGAGCTGTTTCGATTGCGGATTGCCCCAATTTATAGTCGAAGAAAAAATCGTCCGAAGTGCTCTTTTCACATGCTTGAAAAAATCTTGAAAAAAGGGGGTTTATCAAGCAATGGTGAAACGGCCATCAGATAGCGCAAGAAATTCTCTACAGGATGTGCTACTGAGAAGCAAGGCAGAATGAGTTTTTAATCAGCAGTGAATGTACAAAAAATAGGTGCACAAAACGCTGAGAACTTTCCGGACAACCTAATAGATCCTACACTTCAAATGCGATTGCGATTCTAGGTGGAGGTCGTGGGCATGGCACACATGACGCTGAAGGTCAAGAGCTTCAGTTCCTATTTATCGCGACTGAGGCAGCGTTTAGACTCGGCGACGACGGCAGCGCTTCGGTCGCGCGTTCAACGCGATCGATGCAGTCGAAAGCATGATGCGCATCGATTGCGCCCAATGCAAGACCGAGGCGCTGCCGTCGCGAAGTCTGAACGCTGCCTAAGGAATGTGGGGGAGTCTGAACGCTGCCTAAGGAATGTGGGGATGAATTTCGAGCTTTCTGCTTGGGATCGTTTTTATTAGGTTGGCGGGAAAGTTCTGTCACTTTTTCGAACTCAAAATACCATTACCTGAAGAGGGGTGAACGGTAATGTGAGCACTTATACATCAAAGAGTGGTCTTTCTATTAGTACCACTCGCTTGATTCCTGCTTCTTCTTCTGCAATATGGACAAGAATGTTATCCGCTACCATCGCCACCGACCCCTCCAAATGCTTCTGATAGTGCGCACTTCCAAAAAAGTTCTAGCCGTTCCTCATGCAATAGAGCTGGATGGCTCTCCCCTTGCAGTGGTGTAGCACAGACATTGCTCCTTCTGACAAGGACCCCACAGTAGCATTGCTGTACAATTTTGATCTTACACGCCTCTCTATAAGAAAGAAAGCCCAATTTGAAAAAAGTGACAGAACTTTCCCGCCAACCTAATAGACCGTAACAGTCACAGGTTCCAATCGTTAAATGCGGCATTAACCCTTTGTAGACCGTGTGCTACACCATGTGCAGCACGCGACACAAATCGTTTGGCT